TTCAGAAATGGGTTTTACTCTTCTCCAGGAGAGGATCTAGAAAAATATTCATGAAGTAGCAAGAGGGTGGGATGCAGGCATGGTAGGGTGGCAGACATATTTAATTGAAAACAATCATATATATTAATATTTGCTTGGAAAAAGCCCCCAAATGAAGATATTTGAACTTAGTAAAGCACTGCATAGAAGTGTCTGAAAGTGGCATTAGAAATCAATAAATTATTTTATTTCCAAACCTTCAGACATTTTTACTTCAGACAAACTGTGGTGGCAAGGCATTTTGGCCCCTGCTCTTCTCTTTACCTTTTACAAGAAATTCCAGCCAGCCTTTCCCAGTTGATCCTCACAGTACTTTTACTTCAGTAAAATATTGTTGTATTCTTTCCATCCCTGCTTAGTAATTGGATGAAACAAAATGTATGACTACAAACATTTGACTCCATTTTGCTTTTCACTATCCTAGAAAGTAGGCCTACCTCCTTGCCTTTGTATATCACCTGCTGCTGCTTCTAGCCTGCTCTGGTCACCTTAGTTTGTAATTAAGAGAGGACCTAGAGGACAGTGGAAAAACACGGTAAGATTTAAACAAATATCACTGCTAATTGTAAGGAACTACCATTCTGTGCTGAGTGTGGGTCTTGCAGAAGTTGGCTACCAGGCTCCAAAAGTCCTTAATAGGGCTCCCCAACAAAATGTGGAGTGATTTGCAGGATGGAGTAAGAAAGAAAAAAAAGAAAAAATAAAACATACTCACAGCTCTATACAGATCACACACCATTCTTAGATGGGGCTGTGGAAAAAAAGCTGCTTCAGATGTGTTACAGTGGTCTGCACTACACAGCCATCAGAACTGGATGTAGTGACAAAGTGATGCAGTCTGCTTAGTGAAAATAGCTTTATTATTTTGAGTAAAAAAAAAAAAAAAAGAAAAAAGGAAGAACTTATTTATGTTAGCTTATACAAACTGTAACATACGGAATATGTTGATAATAAACAACTTTGGAACAGCCAGAACTGTATGAACAACAAAGTGCAGGGCGTGTGCAGTAAACACAATGTATGGCATTTTTCAAGTAGTCAAGCAAGTCAGGAACAGACATTAATCAATTCCATTCCACGTTGGAAACTTTGACAAGGACCTATCAATCTTTGTTCAAAATTTGAATTTACTTCTGTGCAAGAATGTTTTCTAAAGAAAAAAAGTCACACGTGCATGTAACATATATATAAACCAGTGTTTTGTCTACATTTAGTATATATTTTTTTAGTGAGGATGAACTAAAACATGGTGGTAGGGGTTCATCATAACTTAACAGAACAAAACAACACTGCACATTTCAGCAAACAAGAAAGTGTATGGATGCATAGCTTGTCACACACAAGTATCAGCTGTGGAAGGACTCATCCAAATATGACAACAGAAAAACATGCAAAAAAGATTTGATTAAGGTTTGAATTTTGACAGTGCTTCATCCCAATCATCTCAAATTCAACAGTGTCAGTGTAGACATTTACCAACAATCAATTTCAAATACAAATTAAGGGCAAGACCCTTTTACATTTTATTGAAATTTTTTTTCACAATTAACATTTTATTTTTTAAGTCTCAAGAGCATACATAAGGTACATAAGGCTGATGTGAAGTTGTCTTTTGCGCCCAAGAAAGAACTATCAGCTCGAGTTATTCTCTGAGACGACACACAGAAGTCTCACACAGACGGCCATTTAAACCCAGGTTTAATCCCAAATTAATCCCAGTTGTTTTTTAGTCCAGGTTAAGCTCAAATGTAGTCATGATGTCCCGCTGCATAGTCATGTCAATACCAGACATCTATAAAAGAGAGAAATAAACCACAGAGCAGTTGTTAAAATGCCCTTTTACTAATACTAGAACAATAGAACCCTAACACATGGATGAAGGTACTCACAGCCTCCCGCCGCCGACGTTCTTGCTCCTTCTTGCGAGCCATCTCTCTTTCCCTATCCACTGAGGACTGTGTGATTGGAGGTTGTGTTTCTATGGGAGACTTTGGCTGTTGCTGCTCAACATCTTTAAGTGCGTCTAAGGTAGCCTCTGTGCAAATGCTCTCTGGTGAATCAGGATCTTCTTTAATAGGTTGTGGAGTTGCTTCTGCTTTACATGGGCCTGGTAGGCTAGAAGAAGAATGTACTCGTTAACCGGAAGTCGCTCTGTTTATGTGTGTCACTTATTTTAGCCTGTAAAATTAATAAATAATTTAAATTCGAAGCAGATCTAATGCGTTTGCTAAATACCTCCTCTTTTCAGGAGCCTCCCTCTCCTTGTTTCCTTCCACCTGTTTCTTCTTCAGTGCTTTTTCACGTTCTTCCTTTTCTTTGGCAGCCTTACGGAACTGTTGGAAGCTTTCCTTTGAGGACTTGATTGCAGTTGGAGTCACTGACTGCCTCACCAGTCTCGCCCAAGACTCAGCATTTTTCAGAACAATGTCCTAAATAAGATACATTTTCAAGTTTATCTGCAATTAATGTCAAATGTGGTAGGAGGGGGTAGCACCAACTACGATTAACTTTAAAGGTCAAGTTTGTAGGAATTTGTGGCATCTAGCGGTGTAGTTGCAGATTACAATACCCTCGCCTCACCCTCCCATTCCAAGTGTTCCAAGTAAACTCGCAAAGAACGTGAAAGGCCCTATTTAGAGCCAGTGTTTGATTTGTCCGTACTGGGCTACTGTAGAAGCAAGGGAACGAAAACACAAGAATTCTTATTTTTAGGTTATTATACACTAATGAAAATATACCTATGAATATTATATTCTATTTCTGACAATAGATCAAATGACATTTAATTATCATCGATAATACTTTAATACCCTCTGGTGGTAGAAAGATAAACTGAATAATGTAAATTTGAACTGCTATATATATATATCTATATATCTATATATCTATATATATCTATATATCTATATATCTATATATATAGATGAATGCAGAGAGTCTGGAGGAATTTGCACATCAGGCATTC